TAAAATAATCTCGTGTATTAGGACTGCAAGGATCACACAGGCTAATCTGTTACTGAGAAGACCAAATGCAAAGACATTTTTGTTCAGCATAAGATGTGCTGAGGAAAGAGAGACATGCCTTGGAGACGTGCTGGGCTGCTCAGGGCACTGAGGAGAAAAATCATTTAACAATTAATTGAGTATAAAATTGCACAGAGCCGGTTTCTGAATGAGAAGCCATCTGCGGTGTTTTAGCCTCAAAAAAATCTTGACTGCCCCTTTCCCTGGTGAGAGCTCTGTCCTTCACCTGCCTGCAGGGAAAATCCCAGCCCATGGAACGCCTGCAAGTCCAGCCCCGTTTCCCTAAGGGCTTCTCCATTTGTGGTGAGTTTACCCTAAAGACAGGAATAGTTAAAATGTTTCTGGAGGCTGGAGAGCTTTCACCTACCACTTCTGCATGGGAGGAATTTAAGCCGTGATTAATTCACGCCTCTGGTTCAAGGACTTTGATCCCATTGCTAGAGCACTACCAACAGTTACATATAAACTACTTTTTGGGTCATTTTAGCCCAGATTTTATTTAATTTTACCAGGACTTCCCATTGAGCTGTAGTTTCTTACAACCCCGATTCCAGCCTTTTCTCCTTGCCTTCCTTCCTCTGCAGCAATGGCATTAACCGGGGGCGGTTTTGGAACTGGAGACTTCCAAGCCCAGTTACAAACAAGTCCCCTGACACCAGATCAGGCCAAATATTCAACCACACGCCGCAGGCTCGGGGGCCAGGCTTGTCCCAAAAGAACCCGAACACAAGAGCAGGGACGGGAGCTCTCGGGCGCAGCTGCCACAAGAGGTCCCTGCACGCCCGCTGGAGAACTGGGAGCCCTGGAAGAATCCGATGGGATTCCTCATTCCCACCTTATTTGGAGATACTGCCTTTTTCACCCAGATTTCCAGAAGTTTTCCGACTGTCCCCAAACGACCTCGTTTTCTGCGGAGAGGCAGCTGAGCCTGGTGCTCCCAGCAGGGCAGGGGACTCCTTGCAGATACCAGCAAGGATGTGCCCAGGTCCATCCCATAAAGCCACTGGCACCACAGCTAATCCCATGGTGTAGGGGCTTTCCAGCGGCAGTCGGGGTGTAAATCGAGAGGACAGAATTTTATTCAATAGCTAAACAATCGTTTTTGTCTCCCTTTCCCAGGCTGCAGTTTCTCTGCAGCACATCTTAGGGACACAACCCATCTTCCACAATAAAAAGCTGGCAGTTTAGTGATAATCCACCACAGGGATTCTTCCAGCTGAACTCTGTCCCCCTCCAGATGCTCCCCAGCTACTCCTGGGTGGGGGTTTGGGTGTGCTTTTGCACTTCCACCATCCCTTACTTAAGGAGGAGCCCACTCTGCTCCCAAATGCCACAGAGGACTCACTGGCACCAGCAGATGTGGGAGCCAGGCACAAGTTATGCTCCTGTTTTTGCAAATCTTCCCTCCCTTAATCTGCCTCTCCACATCCAGGGAGCCATAAAACCCATCTGCTCACCTAATGCCAGACCTGGCTCACACCTGAAGTAATCTGAGGAGTGCAAGAGCTCAAAACAAATCAAGAAGCTTGGCTTCCAAACTTTAATTAGCTGTTGTCTCCATCCCTCTCTAAGCTGTGTCACCACTCTGTCTGCTTAGGACATAAGAAGTCAAATGATATAGGAATGCTTTATATATCCACATCTCCATTCAGGAAGTCTGGAGTTCCACACTTATGAAAGGATCTACTGTGCAAAATGCAGGTTCTGCATGGCAAAGCATGCCCAGGCATTGCAGAGTTAGCTGTGGAGAGAGCTGAAATCAATTCAAACTTGAGCATCCACCCCTTCCAGCCAGGAACATCTTCCTCATGGGAAAGCTGGATATTCTCCAGGTGGACACAGGAGAAAGGGATTTCAGTCTCTGTGAGTGTGGTGAGCAGCTCCAGAATTTAAGGCAAGAGATGCCAAAATGTGCAGCACATTACCACTGACCACTGGACTTGAAATCATCTGTCAGAGGAAATCATCTGCACTTGCACCACTGCCTGCCCATTTACCCTGCCCAGGTCTGCAGCTCTCACGCCTGAGAGAAGGGTTTTCCTTCCATCCCACAGTGTCTTGACCAGCCCTTGCAGGTGTTCTGCTGCCCAGGCTGCTCATCCTTCCTGAGATTATTCCTGGAACACAATGTCTCCTGGGAGCTTCACAGAACCAGCATGTTCTGGTGCCAGATACCAGTTGCAGACTGGGCACAGCAGCTGCCTTCTGCAGCCTGTGGGAATGCTCCCAAACCACCCAGGCAGAGCCTGCTTTGCCCACATGATAAATGGCCCCAGGGCAGGTTGATCTGGATGCTCTTCTTCTGGCCTTCTTCCTTCTTCCCAGGAGTGGAAGGACATTTTTTTTCCTCAGGACTTGGCACAAGGGATTTGTTGGAGAACCCTGTGTTGACAGCAGAGCGTCCCTAAGGATGCTGCAGGCTCAGCTGTTTCTCAAGGGCTTGGGCTGGACCAGCTGTCATGAACCAGTGGCACAAAGGATGTGCTCTCTCCTCACTCCAGATGCACAGGTATGCATGAACAAAATTCCATTGGATGGCAAATCCCCTTCAAGTACACAGCAGCAGGTCTCCTCTGCTTTCAGCAGCTGCCATGCCCCAAATGTTACCACTTTCTGAACTGTTGATGTGCTGTTATTAGTAAGGTTTCAAGTTCCTTCTTTCTTTTCCTAGTGTTCACTGTGAAGTGGTGCCAGGTGTCTGCCAGGCCTGTATCCCATCTCTCACCATCACCAGACATGAATGCTTAGGAAGAAAATGTGAAACACCACATATAATTATTCTTACCCTGTAAGCAAATTCATTCTTACTAAATATTTCCTTTTCCTTGACTTCTTCCCTTGTGGGATAAACATTTTTTTCCCTGTCTAATTCACCAGTCTCAAGCTTAAATAATTTTTGATGAATATGCATTTGCATTATGATTATGATGCATTTATGACTACATGTGGTTTTTTTGCATTTCAGACAGGTTAAGAATGAGCCCTCCAAGGTGGAAGCACATCCACTACACCCAGTTCAGCATCACACCTTTGAGCCCACTCAATTCCTCCTGTTTTACAAATGCAAGCACAGGAGCTTCCCCACTGCATCTCCTGCTGCTGCTGGCTCTGTGGCTTGGAACAGGTTAGGTTCCCTCCTGAATTCTCTCGTTATTAATATCACAAACCAAGCTGTTCCAAGAGCAGTGCCCCATTAATCACTTCAGCTCTGCTGCAGGTTTCACCTCACTTCCTCTTCCTGCAACCGAGCAGTTTTCCTATGATTTGACTCCATGGGTGCTGCTTGTTAAAATCAGTGGGTGTGGTAGAGCAGGGAAAGGGCCTGAGCTGGGTGAGCCAGGAAAAAGGTAGGAAAAAGATGAATCCACACAGCCATGGCATGAAAAATTGTGTTACTCCAGCTGATGGTGGTGGGAACTCGAAAGCAGGAAAGTTACACCCCTTAAATCTTTGCCTCTAAACTTGAGTTTTCTGGAGGGCCAGCAGCACTGGGGAGACACAGCAGAAGTGAAGGTATCTAATAAAATCCAAGGTCAGCTCAGCAGCTTGTGTGAGTCAGCACCAACGTGGGTGGCAGATCTGCTCAGAGATGTCTGATGCCCACCTGGGCTCTGTTTGTGGTTGAGGGCACCACTTCCTTTTCCTCTCTTCCTTTCTATGTTTAATCCTGACTTGTGTTACAAGCAAAGGTCCACAACCCTCTGAGTAACCACCTCTGGTTTACCTAAAAAGGGTCAAAAGATGTTTACAGAGCATCTTCCTGAAAATCTGCCTCCAATCCCATCCCAGTCCCTTGAGGGCATATTGTGTGTTCCTGACATCCCTGCAGCCAGCTTCCACCTTCTCTCTGACATCCAAAGCCCTTTTCTACTTTGCATCCTTTATCTATCACCTTTTTAATATCCATTCTGCCATCTTTACTTTTGTCAGGCATTTTGTTTTGCCCTTCTCTTTGCACTTTACAAAAGCCTTTCCTGGGTGCTCGGCTGCATCCAGCAGCATCCAGCAGCCGAATCTGCTGCTCAGCCCTGCAGTGCAAATGTCCCTGCACAGGATCAAGCTTCACTTGCCTGATCCCAAAGCTGCACACCTCTGTGCCTGCCCCTTTGCCTGTTCACTGCAGATTTCCATCTGTGAGCAAACGTTTTCCAGCCATTTCTGCTGAGTCAGAGAACGCTCTGCGAGGGCTGCTGCTCCTCCACGTGGGAATGTGCTTCTGGGGAATAATTACAGAGAGTTTAAATACGGACATTTGGCAGCCAAATTGCTTCACTTTCAGGCTCCTGGCCAGGAGGGCAGAGCCCAGAAGCTGCTCATTGGTGCTGTGAGAAAATCCCTCGTTCTTGTGTCCATCGTGGGTGTGCAGAGCCCGTGGGCCAGGATTGTCCGGACAGGGCAGTGTCCCAGCATTCTGCTCTGAAGGAAGGGGTGCTCATGGCTTGGAGGGTCCCATGAATCTAACTGCTTCCCAAAAAATCCAGCCTGCACTTATCCAGCATCCTGCACGTGCCTTCTTCTCTGGGTCATCCCCTGCCAGAGGATTTTTATTCCCCCTGCTGCTGGATTTGGGAACATGCTGCTGGCAGGGAGCTGATCCCTGCGGATCTCCTGTTCTGCAAGGGAGATGATGGAAGCGTGCTGTTGGTAGCTTTTCCTCCCTTAATTTTTGAGGCATATTTTAGGTTGTGAAACACTGAATGTGAAATAGAGATAAGAACAAGAGGAGACACAAACAGTGTAGGTGTTACTCCCAGCTTTTTGCAGCTCCCACTTTGTTGTAAAAATAGCCCAGCAAGCAGCACCCTGCTCCGTGCCATCCTTCACAGGCCAAGAGATGATGGGATCATGTGGACATCAGTGACTGAACCAGGAGCAGAGCTGGGATGTAAGGCACATGCTAGAGCTGCTGAAAACTTCATGGTCCTTAAAATCAACGGAGAATAATTCTACCAAAAGATCAAATTAAAGAATTTTAAATGTTGTTGAAAAATATGAAAAGTAGCAATATCATTCCAAAGTGCTGCAAAAATACCTTGTGTTGAACTGGAGTGCTTTCCATCAGGAAAAGGGGCAGTGGGAAGGGACCATGGGATATCACTGAATCTCCTTGAGTTTCTGGTCACACTGCCCATGACGCACCCCATCTTTACACCACACCTGTGCCATAATTCCTATGTGCCCTCAATTCTTTTGCAACTCTAAACCCCAGCAAAATACCCTTAATTAGGTGCAGGCCAGTTGCAAAAATCAGATAAAGCTCCCTGGCAGGCAGCTGCTTCCAGGAGCTGCATCTCCTGATGGAGAGGAGCGTTGTGCAACTCGGGAAGAGCATCACCAGCCGTGGGCTGGCAGCGGGCAGAGCAGCTGTGGTGAGACCAGGGTGTCACCTCACAGGAAAGCTGCAGACAGAAGCAGTGGTGGCTCTCTGGCCCAGGGGACTGACCAGGTACCTGAACCCCCCTGGCAGGACCAGGTGAGTACCCACTGATGCTTCTCCTAAAGAACCTGGGATTAGGGAAGCGGTGCAGAGGGGATTTACAGGAGCAAGTCACCACCCTGCACCGAAACCTGCCTTGAATGACCTTCCCCTGCTCCATTTCTTTCTTCCTTTCCCCTCCAAAATAGAGTGGGAGATTCCTAAACAGCCTCTCAATGACTGCTAAGGCAGGGAGAGCACTATGAACCAAGGGGGTTGGCTGTTTTCTAGCCCAGGAGGCATTTTGTATGGGGATTAGTGCTTTCACAGCAATTACACAAATAACATCTCTGCATAAATATTAGAGAGGCTTTGGAGCGACTGAAGCATCTCTTTAGGCTAAATTTGAGGGAGACATGGGCTATGGCAGCAGCACCTCCCCATAAATAATTGTATTTATTTACAAGAGCTGTTAATCATATCTGTTCACTCACCCTGCGCTGCAGTTGAGTTGAACGGGACAGGGAGCTGAAAAGGAGAATTGGGTTAATTCAGAGGAGAAAAGGGCAGAGGAATGGGTGTTGAGTTTGGACACAAAGCTAAGAAAGGGGTGTTTTCCACCAGTTGAAGGTCATTTTGCTGTTTCATCAGAAATTTGGGACTCCTTGAGTGCCTGACCTCGACCAGCTCCCGCAGCCACCAGCATGGACAGCGATGACACCATCACTGAAGAGGTCTGCAGGGAGGATGACGTTGGGGATGGACAGTGAGTGCCTGGGGGTCCTGGTGGGGATTTAGGTGGTTCTGTGCCCACCTCTGCACCTCTCCCCCAGGCTCCTGGAGGTGATGGTGGCTGGCTACCCAGTGCTGCTGGTGAGGAACAGGATGGAATTCCATGCCCTAGGCAGCAAATGTCCCCACTACGGTGCCCCGCTGAGCAAAGGTAACCCCAGCTTGGGGCAGGGGGGGAAAGAAACACCTTGGGGAGGTTGGCTCTCCCTGCTCAGCTGTGGGGGTTCTCTTGCAGGGGTCTTGAGAGGGGAGAGGCTGCGCTGCCCCTGGCACGGGGCCTGCTTTAACATCAGGACTGGAGACATTGAGGAATACCCTGCTCTGGACTGTGTCTCCTGCTTTAAGGTGACTTCTTGTCCTCCCATCTGGGAGCCTCTCACATTCATTCTCTCTCAAAGCTCCCTGCCCTGACCACAGCTCTGTCACTCAGAGCTTCAACACAAGGGATGGTTCTTGGGATTATGCAACTCCCTGCCCTGAAGCTCCTTTCAATCAAAGGTGCTGCCATAGATCCTGGTATTCCTCAGAGGCAGCACAAGTGCTTCTGGAAAGAAAAAGAGAATTTATAGCTCTTCCTCAGTACTCTTAGGATGAGGAGAAAAGCTCATGAGTTCCTCAGCATCATGTGACATCCAAGATCAGAGGCAGAGGCAGATGGCACACTGGACCAAGATCTCCCAGGAGAGCTCCTACCACAACCTCATGGATGCAGCACTTAAAAAACCTCTCCTTTCTCTCCTTCAGGTAACAGTGGAAGATGGAAAGGTGTTTATTACAGCAAAAAAGAAGGTACTGACCTTACCTGCTGTCACTGAGCACAGACAGCGCCTTGGGCTGCGTGTGACTTGAGCATTTTGCATTTTGTTGCAGGACCTGGAAAGCAGCCTGAGGGTGAAGGACACAAGCAGGAGGTGCCTCCTCAACAGGAACACAATGCTGCTGCTGGGGGGAGGTCAGTGAAGGGATCTGAGCTCTGCCCCCTCCACACACGCTGGGAGCTGCCACTCTCCTCTCCAGGGAGGACTGACCTGCTCCTCCTCCTCCTCCACCGCAGTGACGTTTCAGAGGGCTGAGACGAGCATCTCTTGTAGGTGTGGCTGCCCTGGTGTGTGCAGAGACTCTTCGCCAGGAGGGATTCACTGGCAGGATCATCCTGGCCACCAATGAGAAACACGTTCCCTATGACAAGTCCAAACTGAGCAAGGTTCGTGTGTGACAAGGGCAGGACTGTGCCTGGCCACCACGTGTGACACGGGCCACACTCAGGGCCAGGAGCAGTGGAGTGAGCAAAGCAGGAGTGCTGAGGCATCCAAAAAGAATAGAGGTGTTATTTCCAGGAAAACATCTTTTTCCTCTCAGAAGTCTTTGATCAGAGTCAACATGAGCTGATGTTTTTATTTCCTTTTATTGAGTTCCTCCCACTAAAGTTTGATGGTTTTTCTGAGGTGGGGACAAGGTGATGGGGGATGGGGGAGCTGTGATTCACTAATGCAAAATTCACCTCTTTTATGAACTGACTCCACAAGAAACACTTCAGGAGAATTGCTGCCTGTTAGAAGTGCTTAATTTCATATTTTTGTTGTGTTCCCAGGAAATGAACTTGAAAGCTGAGGACGTCTACCTGAGGAAACCCGAATTCCTCGAGGCTCAGGGCATAGAGCTCTGGACAGAGAAAGAGGTACCAGAGCAGCTGAACTCAGTCCTCAGTGGGTGATCCTGTTCCTGCCATGGGGAGGGTGTAACACTGATCTGTGCATCCATGGATGGACCTGTGGGAAGTGGGAGAGAGGACCCCAGCACCCCTCATCTCACCTGAGTGCCCAGAAACAAGGCACACAGGCACAGGCAAGACAGAGGATGGATCAGAGGTACCTGTCTGACCTTTGCCCCCTCTCTTCTCCAGGCAGTGTCCGTGGATTTCCAGAAGCAGAAGGTTCGCTTCATGGATGGGTCCTCTCAGAAGTACCACCAGCTGCTCATTGCAACAGGCAGCCAGTGAGTGCACAAAGTGTTTGCCACACACAGGATTTTAGGCAGGACAACACTGGGATGTAGAGGTGGAGGTAGGAAATGAGATGAAAGGGCAGAATGGAACGACACAGCTGTCTGTGGGTCTGTGCTCCCTTCTCATTCTTTCTGTTTAATTTATATCATGGAATTCATCTGGATTCTCTCTCTTTCAGCTGTGGTTTCCTCAAAGTCCCAGGTGCAGACCTGCAGAACATTTGCACACTTCAAACCCCTGAAGAGTCCAGCAAGATCTTGGAGCTGGCAACTGGGAAGAATCTGGTGATTGTAGGAGCTTCATTCATAGGTACCAGGCTGGAGTGGGTGTCAAACCATCAGTGAGGGCCTTCAAACCCCCTTCTGTTGTTGTGCACATTAACTGGAGGCCCTCAGGGAAGGGATGTTCCTTTTTTCCCCAGCTGGGATCCTCCCTGGAGCTTCTGGGGGTGTGTGTGTGTTACACAGCACACATTCATTCTTTCCTCTGATAGCCAGAAACTTTGAGAGCTATAAACAATTGCTACACATGGACAGAGGGAAATGTGCCTTATGAAAAGGTCACTGTCCTCCAGAAGAGCTGGATTCCCCAGAAGCATTGGGAAAGCAAGGGGCTAAGGCACAGAGAGTTATTTTGTACATTACCAGGAGCTATTCTTTGCATCTCCTAACATCCAGGTCTGTGTGCACAAGAACAAAGAATGGGGGGAGCTAAATACCTCAGCCCAGAAATGCACAGCAAAGCAGTTCAACACTGGCAGCACATCAGATTTGTCCTCCTGGAAGAGGAGAAGGTTTCCAAGGGTGCAGGTTCATGCTTGCAGCAGGCTTACCTTGGGCATGCCTCTTCCTTGCAGGAATGGAGGTGGCTGCCTTCCTCTCAGACAAGGCTGGAACCATCTCAGTGGTGGAAAGAGAGGAGTTCCCTTTCCAGCATGCCCTGGGTCCTCAGGTTGGAGGTGTCACCATGAAGGTTAGGAAAACCTGGGGCTAATTTCTAGGATGGAGAACACATGATATCCAAGCAGCCCAGGGATCCACAGCAGCCCAGGAAACCTCACCCCTGTGCTGAGTCATAGCTCTGCATGCCCAGCCTCTGTCCTCACCCACAGCTCACCCACAAGTTCTGCACACACGGCTGGTCCCAATCTTCCCCCTCAGACACATCAAATTCTTCATCCCAAACCCACCTCACACACCAGTCCTCACCAGGACTGCAGAGAAAAGCCAGGCTTCCAAGCTGCCTGCATCAGCCAGGGACACAAATGGAGCCTCCCTGCAGCCTGGAGCAGCAGCAGAGCTGCCTGCCTGGGTTTTGGCTGGGTACAGCTGTTTTTATAGCCTGGAATTTCCTAATGAATACTCAAACCAGTCCTTTTCAGATGCTGCAAAATAAAGGGGTGAAGTTCCACATGAAAACAGAACTCTGTGAGCTGAAAGGAAAGGATGGAAAGGTCAGTCATGCCTTTGTGATCCCTGAACTGTTAATTTTAGGGGAAAAAAGCCCAAGTTGAGGTATAACCCAGTGCCTACAAAAGGCTTTCCTCTCCCATGTCTAGACCCTCCCTTCCTTTTAACTGAGCACAACTCTGGGCTCAAAGGACACCAGTAAATGTTCCTGTCCAAGGGACAACAGCATGATTTTCTTTTACATTCCCAGCAACACACATTAGTTGGACAAGGTGATCCAAACCTGGGGGAGAAAAAAGACAGCAAAGAGCAAAGCAGCAGGGAGGCTGTGGGAATTAGGACAGAGGTTTTAACTCTTTATTGATGATCCTTCCTTCTTTCCAGGTCACAGAGGCTGTCCTTGCCAATGGAAAGAATCTCCCTGCAGACGTGGTAGTGGTGGGAATAGGTAAGAGACCCCAACTGGGAGAGAGGGGCAGCTCTGGGAATGGGGAGAACATCCAGCAAGCTCAGGGCATCACAGTTCATTTCCAGGACACTATTCCCTGCAGTCTCTTTCCCACTCTGTTATCATCCAGCCCTTCCTCTTGGCCCCAAACACCTGGAAAAGTCACCATGAGCACACACTTGGCAGGAGGAAAGGAGCTGGTTCCACTCTCACTGTGCCTGTGGCTCTTGCTGAGCTCCACGGGGTGCTGCTGCATCACCAAGGTGTGCTGTGTCCTGGGCCCTGGTTTTATTGCCCCTGCACTGGCTCAGCACCAGCCCAAGCACAGGTCACTGCTCCAAACAGGAACAGCAACTATGAGGCCAAATTTCCTCCCTGTCCTTGCAGAGCTTTGCTGCATTTTATCCCTGCTCCTCTCCCCACAGGGTCGACCCCCAACTCAGCATTTCTGAAGGGCACCCCCATTGCCAGAGATGACAAAGGTGCCATCCTGGTGAATCTGGTGAGTGCCAGCTGAGCATCCCAGCTCACCCCCCATCCCTTCCCTCTCATCACTGCACTAATTGCCTTTTGTCCCATTAGCACATGCAAACCAACATCCCGAACGTGTTTGCTGCGGGGGACGTGGTCACCTTCCCGGTAGCGCTGCTCGATGGGGCCAGGTCCAGCATCCACCACCAACAAGTGGCTGAGGCCCATGGTGAGGGCACAGCCACGTCACCTTCCAGCTCCCTTAGACATGGGAATGGGACAGAAGGGACAGCAGGAGACAGGGGGAATAACTTTTAATGGCCTGCAAGAAAAATATTCTGTGTGTCGGTTCATCCCAGGCCACTGTGCTGCTTTAAACATGCTGAAGAGAGGGAAGGAGTTGCACACTGTTCCTTACTTCTGGACCACGTTGCTTGGGAAAAGCATCCGCTATGCAGGTAGGACGGGGCAGAGAGAGGGGAACAGAACTTCTTCCCACCAGCTGGGTCTGGGGCTTGTAAGCACACTGTGGTTGCAGAGTTCACCTGAAGCAGTTCAAGCTCTGGACTGGCTGCCATGGTGAGTTTGAGCCCTGGACCTGGAGGTCACCCAGAACTTTTGTTCTTTGCTGATCTCCAGTGGCTTAGAGGTCACAGAGGAAGAACTTCCCTCTCCAAGCCAAGGAGACGCTCAAAGTCAGTTCTGCTTGTCCAGGGCCTTCATGTCTGCTCCCCAGCCCTGTCCCAGCCCCAGTCACTGTCCCCTCTGTCCCTACCCACACTGGCTCTGAGGTGGGATGGGTGGCAATTGCTGTGCCAGGGCTCCCTGAGCAGACTCTCTCTCTCACAGGCTGTGGGAAGGGATACACGGACACTGTTGTGAAAGGCAGCCTGGAGCAACAGAAATTCCTGATCTTTTACATCAGGTGAGTGAATCCATGGCCAGTCCATGCCCTGGAAACAGGCCACAGTCCTCTCTCTTACAGCTTGCAGAGATCCCACAGAGACTCCACATCTCCTGGCTGTGTGCTAAAGGCAGCTGCTGGGTGCTGAACCAGAGAAAACCAAAGCAGGGCAGGGAAGGAGAAGAAGAGAAGAGAATGAACTCAGATGATGACACCAGCTGGGCAGAGAGCCTGGGACACATCTCTCCCTCTGCCCCAGTGCTCCCAGGCTCAGTGCCCAGCTCCCAGCAGTGCCAGGCAATCTGCCACAAATCCCTGTGCATCCTGCAGCACCAGCCACCCTGCCCTGAGCCCTCTGAAATACAGCTGCTCCCTGGCCACTGTGCCACAGGGATGCTGCTGTGCTGAGCTATGTACACTGAGAAGATCCACATTCTTCCTCTTTCTGTTCCAGGGATGGCCGTGTGACTGCAGCTGCCAGCCTGAACTGTGACCCCATGGTGTCTCTGATTGCAGAAGTTTTTTACTTGGGGAAACAAATCTCCAAAGAAGAAGCAGAGTAAGTTACATCCTGACTGAGCTGGTGGGTGGCTCTGTGCTGTTCCCCATGTCAGCAGAGCCCACTGAGAGACACAAAACCGAGAGAAGTCACTGCAAATCCCCATCCTACCTCTTGTTTTCAGGGCCTGTGACATTGGCAACATCCCCTCACTGGCACAAAGCTAAGCTTGGTGTGTGCCCCTTGTGAGGGGTTCACAACCAAGTGTTAACAGCTCCACATCCTCCCACCCTGGAGCAATAAAACCATCATCAAAGCTGAACCCAGAACCTGCATTTTGTGTTTGCAGACAATTTGTGCTGGGCAAAGCTCAGAAGATGTGGTATTCTGCTGCGCTGGATGAGAGGAGGATGCCCATGGCCTAGGGTTTAGCTGAGGGTCTGAGCTGGCAGCAGCCACCACACATGCACAGATGCACCAGCCAGAGATACACCAGCTCCTCCTGTTCCTTCCCTGTTGGCAGGGAGCTCTCATTTAGCACACCGGTCACGCTGACCTTCTCCTTTGCAAAAACACATTTTCCCAGCAAGGGGAGCTGTGACCGAGACAAGCTGCTCTCCCAGCAGGGAACGAGGTGGGCTGTGTGCAGGAACTTGCACAGAATACCCTGCCCCTAAGGACAGAGGGATGCCACCTGACCTCTGAGCCAGCAGCACCTGCTGGCAGTGTCACTGCTGTCTTGAATATTGCATTAGCTGCAGCAGCAAACAGCCAGCCTCTGGCAGAGAAATCCCAGCTCCAGCCTTGCCTGCTGTGTCCCTGCATGCTGGATGTCTGGAGGAGGTGGCCAGATACGAAAGGAAAGAGTTACTGGATTTTTGCAAGGCAACAGCAAGCTAGGCTGTGCTTTCTACAGGAAACCTTGCACTTACTCACCAGTCACATGGGGCTGTGCAGGAGGAAGGGTAAGTCCCAGGAGCCAGGCAAGTTCCCACAGGGACACCCCACTGACAGCCCAAACCCCCTCTGGTTTGACATGAAGTGCAGGAGAGCCAGAGCCTGAGCCCTTCGCTCAGCAGGAGAGATACTGCAGTGCTGGTTTTGTGTTAAACACCCAAACTTGTCCTCTGGCACCTCACACATGAATTTGACCTGAAATCCAACATTTTGCATTTCCTGACCCCACGGGTTTGGTGCTTCTGCTTGAGACAACTCTTTGCTCTGAAAGAGCCATATTTTACCCAGGAAAGAGCTGGGTTTCAGCAGCACAGGTTGTTCCTTCATGACAGGAAATGTGTAGATTTGTGAGGCACATGGAGCACACAGCTCTCATCAAATCAATCTGTGCTGCAGAAGAGGGGGAGCATGGCCCAGGAGCTACTCCTCCCTGCCCTCAGGCATCCTCCTCCCCACACACACCATGACTTTCTGCCCCTCATTGCACTCCAGGATGTGTTGGGCACTGAGCAAGTGCCAGCTGTTTTGCATGGACTTGCAGCAGGGCAGCTGTGGTGGAAGAGACAGGCTCTGCCTCAAGGTGGAGGAACTGATCCAAGGGTGTTCAGCAGTCCCAGTCCCTCTGGACAACAACTACCCCAAAGAATCTCAGCTTCTTGTAACCATCAGCAAGAACACACCAAGCACAGCAGCTTTATGTAAGAAGGAAAGACCTCAGGACAAGAAACTTATTCTACTTCTACCACTTAATAGACACCAGGCCACTTTCTGTGCTTTGCTGGGTGCCAAAGTTTGGGAGCAGCCCTGCCTTGGGCAGCTGGAGCCTGGGCAGGCAGATTAAGTTGAGATTGTGCAGACATTTCAGCACAGGGCTGTTCCTCCCTGCCCGCCCTCGGAGCTGGGATGAGCTGTGCTCTTTCTGGCAGGCCCTGAGCAGCAATGCCTGGACACTCCCCTGAGTCCCATTCACCAGGGCAGCTTGGGAGCTGGTGGTCCCAGCAGTCCTGTGGGAAAGCCTGGGGGAGCAGAGGCTCCCCGGAGCCCTTGCTGGGCCCATGGAGCTCCCCTCTCACTCAGTGCAAGGCAGGGGCTTCTCCAGCCCCAAAGAGCAGCTTCCAAGCTCCTTCCAGGGCAGCCTTCTGCTTCTGTTCACCAACGAGCCAGAGCCTGGACAGTGGAAGAGCCCAATAAAGTTCACCATGGACCCCTCTGAGTGCTGCTAGCTCCAAAATACCTGGAATCCTGGCACTGCTGTGCAGTCAGGGCCGTGTGGCCTCCCAGGGACAGAGGTTCCGGGAACAGCCGTCCAGAGCTGTGCGTGACTCGGCCCTGAGTCACTCACGCTGGCCCAGCGGCCCGGCCCCACCGCACCCGGCCCGACCC